GCAAGTTCAAGTCAGCAACTTGTTATAAGTGCAGTAAGCAAGGTCACATTGCCAAGGCCTGCTTTGCGAAGTCTTCGTCTGTTGCTAGATCTAGCCAGTCAAGACAGTACCGCAACCAAAGGCAGCACTATGTTAACTCTCACCAAGACAGCCTAACCCAACCAATGAACCACTCTACCTGTGAAAATGCTCAAACTGATTCGCAGCCGGAGTTCAACCTGTTCTCTGTGAAATCAACAAGTCATACTCCCATCAACGTACCAGTTGGTATCAACGGTAAGAGCATCATCTTCCAACTTGACACTGGAGCATCTCTAACCGTCATCACAAAGGACATTGACGCTGTCACAGGAGAATCATCGCCTCTACAACCATGTCACAAGTGCCTAACAACATACACAGGTGACAATGTTCCGGTGATAGGAGAGTGTATAGTTCCTATCTATATATATAATTCTCCTCTGCGAGCCGTCAGAAAACAAGCTGCAAAGCGCGCCTTACAGTCCCCTCTCTTTCTCTATATCACTATCACTTCCACCCCCACCCCACCCCCACATGGTTTGGTGAGTTGTAGTCAAACTAAATGTTTACATATCGTAGCGCAGGGTTTAGTGACGGCTATTAGGGGCAGATAATTTAGTTTGAAACGATTTTAAACTTCAAGGAGGTAACTAAGAGAAGGCTGCTTTCACGGTGGGAGAGGGGGGGGGAAGGGTCGGGGGTCGGGGTTAGGGGAAAGGGGGGGTGGGTTAGTATTGTAAAGCAAATATTTTCAGTGGCAGCTTTGGTACTGTCGAATTCACAAATTATGAATTACTGAAAAGTAGAAAACAAAACAACTAAATAGCGGCGTATGATACGCCGCGGGTCAGCTCGTAAGCTATAATGGTCAAAGTGTTAAACTTCCTCTTCTTGTGGTTGAAGGAAATGGACCACCATTACTAGGTAGGAACTGGTTAGTTGATCTTAAGTTAGACTGGGGGAATATATTTTCAGTGAACAAAGCAAGAGAATCTAGTTTTACTTCAATAGATAAAGTTATATCTGAAAATGAAGGTGTCTTTGGTAGTTCAGGATTACTAAATGATAGGACAGTGAAGATAAGCATTAAAGACACAAATCTAAGATACTGCAAAGCTAGAGTTCCACCTTATGCAATGAGGGATAAAATTGAAAACGAGCTAAGTAGATTGGAATCTAATGGCATCATAAAGAAGGTAGACTATTCCGATTGGGCAACGCCCATTGTGCCAGTGTTAAGGAAGGATGGTTCTGTAAGAATTTGTGAAGACTATAAAGCTACACTGAATAAGCAAATAGAGCTAAATAAGTACCTTATTCCTAACATTGAGGAAATTTCTTTGAACTTGGCAGGAGGAGACAAATTCACTGAATTAGACTTTAGTCATGCTTACACTCAACTAGAACTTCATCCAGATTCAAAAGTCTATACGACAATAAACACACATAAGGGACTCTACCAATATGAAAGACTATGTTTTGGTATATCATCTGGCCCTGGAATCTTCCAGGCTGTCATGGACAGTATTTTTCAGGACATTCCAAATGTTTGTGTTTACTTTGACAATGTATACATAACTGGTAACAATGACACTGAACATCTTAAAACACTTGATAAAGTCTTGAAAATAGTTGGTAAATAGGGTTAAAAGATAAACAAAGATAAATGTCAATTCATGCTGACAGATATTAGTTTTCTTCGTTATATTTTGAGCAAGCAGGGTCTCAGACCTCAACCCGAGAAAACAAAAGCCATTAAAGAAGCACCCAAACCTGAAAATACCCAACAGCTAAGAGCTTTTTTGGGCTTGATAAATTACTATGCGAAGTTCATAGGGAATCTGTCTGGTAAACTATCACCACTGTACAAGCTGCTGCAGAAAAATGCAACTTGGCACTGGGGTAAACAACAAGATGCTGCTTTTAATGCAGCAAAAGAAGCTTTGTCTTCCGACACTTTGCTAACTCACTATGACCCAGGGAAAAGACTTATCTTAACATGTGATGCTTCACCAGATGGTGTAGGAGCAGTTTTATCCCACATAGATGAAAATGGTGACAGACCCATTGCTTTTGCCAGTAGATCTTTAAACCAGTCTGAGAAAAATTATTCTCAGTTAGATAGGGAAGGCTTAGGCATCATTTTTGGTATTAAGAAATTTCACAAGTTTCTGTTTGGTAGGAAGTTCACCATCTTTACAGGTCATAAGCCATTGCTGGGTTTGTTTGGGGAAAACAAACCCCTGCCTGAGCATGCCTCACCAAGGGTTCAAAGATGGGCTATCTCACTAGCCGCATACAATTATGAATTGAAATACAAAACTGGATCTGAGAATAGTGCAGACAGTCTTTGTCGTTTACCTTTAAAAAACCAAAGCCTTAGTTATGTACCAGAAGATGTATTTGTTCTTTTCACTATCATGGATAACTCCAATATAAATGTGAATGATGTTAAAAGAGAAACACAAAAAGATGAGTGCTTGATAAAAGTATATGAGTACTGTAAGAATGGTTGGCATGAAGAGTCAGTGAATGATGATTTAAGCCCATATAAAATAAGAAATATAGAGTTAAGTCTAGAAGATGGATGTGTACTATGGAGGTCAAGGGTTATTATCCCCATAATGTTACAAAAAGAAGTTTTAAGAACTTTACACGATACTCATCTTGGTTCTTCCAAAATGAAGAGTCTTGCACGCTCGTGGTTCTGGTGGCCACATATGGATGCTGATATTGAAAAATATGTAAAGCTTTGTTCAAGCTGTGCACAACATTCAAATCAACCAGCTACAGCACCTTTGCAAAACTGGGATTGGCCAATCGAACCATGGAAACGTATCCATAAAGACTTTGCAGGACCCTTCATGAACAAAATGTTCTTAATTGTTATTGATTCACATTCTAAGTGGTTAGAAGTTAAAATCATGAACACAATCACTGCAAGTGATACCATTATAGAACTTAAGGAAATATTTTCAACTCATGGATTACCTGATCAAATTGTTTCAGATAATGGGCCTAGTTTCACTGCTCATGAGTTTAAACTATTTTGTGTAGCAAATGGTATTGAGCATATAACCACATCACCCTATCATCCTGCTGGGAATAGTTTGGCTGAAAGAGCGGTAGGCATATTCAAAACCGCTATGGTAAAAATGAGTACCGGTAACAAATTTTCTCTCAGGGAAAGAGTAAACAGGTTCTTCGCCAAATACCGCACAACTCCTCATATAACAACAGATGTTGCACCATGCGAATTGCTGTGTGGTTGGAAAATTAAAACTCACCTTGACCTACTACATCCAACTGTTCAAAGGTCTGTTTCCCAACATCAACATACACAAAAAGTAAATCATGACAAAACATCCATTGAGAGAGAATTTGGAGTTAATGATAATGTGTATCTGAGAAATTATGGGAGAGGGGAAAAATGGATGCCAGGTCAAATTGTTCAATGTACAGGACCTGTGTCTTATAAAGTAAAAACAAATAATGGACTTATTGTCCGTAGACATGCAGGCCAGTTAAAAATAACTTGTGCAGATAATAAGTGTGAATCTGTCAATCCCACCAAATCTGACCGGTTCACACCAACTCAGTTTGTTCCACAACCAAGTTCTGTTGATATGAGTGAACCAAGTAGTCTAGAGTCAGAAAATGTAAATTCTGGAATTAATGATTTAGATCCTGGACTTCCTGAGCTAGAGAGTCAAGATGGTCAGAATCTCGAGTCACCAAATCAAAAGCTACTGAGAAGGTCAAACAGGACAATCAAAGTCCCAGATAAGTTAGACCTATGATTTTAAAGGTCAAGAGGACTTTGACATCATTGTTTTGTATTTTAATTATGTTGTAGCATATTTTGCATTTGTTGTAAGGGTGTAATCTACCAAATGATTCAAATCATATAATGTTCATGTTACAATATATTTGGTGATTTTAGGATACTATCATTTGTTCTATTGAGAGCTGTGTTGTTGTTTACTAAGGGTAAGGGATGTAATATATTGAGAATTGTGAAGTCAAGGGAACTCACTCTTCTTGTATTAGTCTTATATTTATAATGTTGTTTTGAGTGATGTCCCTGGTATGTCATGTGTCTTCCGGTAGCTGATTAAAGACTAGATATATCAACATGACGTCATCGTCCAGTGTATCATTATAGAAACAACAATCTATTACAGTGGTTGTAAAGAACATACTGACAGAACTTCGAGTAGCATCGTTCCACACGCTTATAGTTGATGAAAGTACTGACATAACTGTACATAAAATACTAATCCTTCATTTTAAATTTTGGCCAGTCAATTATTTATTTTACTAAACCGTTTTTGGAGGAATAATTCAGCTTACCGCATGTGACGCCTGAGCTCTGGAGGCAGCCATAACACAGTACTACACTGAACATCAACTTGAAATGAACCGCATGGTAATGATAACATCGCACGAAACTAGGCGCGTTTGCGCCTGATTTAATTTAGTGAGCTGCGCCTGTTGCAGTTTTACTCCTCAAAGTGTTATGGCACTAGGATGATTGGTGTCTAACCGCATCAGACTTTTTATATACCGTGTTATAGAGACAAATCGCATCGAACCTTGCCGGTGCGCCGCCCTTGTGAAATTGAATCTCCTCCCCCCCCCCCCCCCCCCCAAACCCTTCAAAACAGAAAGAAACCTATTCAGCAACTCCCCAAAGTGTGATGGCGATAGGTGAAAGGTGCAGTAATGCCATAAAGACAAATCAACAAAAAAAAACCACATACATTCATGTATATATATATATATATATATATATAGATCTATATATCATAACAGCCGATCCAATCATAATAACCCTAACAAAACGGAATTAACGCTTTCTGATTAATTAATAGCTGAAAATATTTATTATGTCTTGAAGATGAATTACATCATTAATAATCATAATAATAAGTTGTATCGTATGTCTTAAAAAATTAATCATTCATTTTCAGCTACATTAATTAATACATTTTGTTGCTCAATTCAATTATCATAATTATGATTAACTTAATGGGTTATATAATTATTTATACAAAATTTAGAATTACATAAAATGGAATATATTCAATAAAGAAAAATATAGAGTAAATATTACTTCAATGAATCAAATTATAATTGTACATTTAAAATGTTGGTGTTTATTAGTGGTTAGTATTGTTTTATGGGTAATGTAAAGGATAAGAATTTAGCCATCATATTTTCCAAAAAACCGAAACAAAGCTAGCCATAACAACTTGTACTAGATAATAAATATGCTATGGAGATTCATGACACCAATTCTTTCCATGTAGTTTTTCTTCCTTTGTGTGAATTGTCTAGATAGAATATTAATCATTTGTAATACTTTGTATGACAAATAATATTATGAAGAGTATTATATCCTGTATGACAAACATTAATGGTGTGTTTTCAGCCTACACAATGTGGTATTAGTAAAAAAAAAAAAGCAATAATTTTATATATAGATAATTAAAGATCTTTGTGAAAGAGAATTTAATGACCAACAACACATTCAAGTCCTAAGTAAAAATTTGTGTGCATAGATAAACTAGATTTAGAGGAAATGTTTGTGATAAATGTCAAATTCATATGGTCTCTCTGGTAAATGAATATTTTTATGCTTAGATAAACTATCTTTAAAATTAAATTTTTTGTGACACACATCACATTCATATGGTCTCTCTGGTAAATGAATATTTTTATGTGTAGATAAATAACCTTTACGATTAAATTTTTTATGACACACATCACATTCATATGGTCTCTCTGGTAAATGAATATTTTTATGTGTTGATAATTGACTTTGATGATTAAATTTTTTGTGACACACATCACATTCATATGGTCTATCTGGTAAATGAATATTTTTATGCTCTGATAACTCACCTTTATGATTAAATTTTTTATGACACACATAACATTCATATAGTCTCTCTGGTAAATGTATAATTTTATGTGTAGATAAAGTACTTTTTCGACTAAATTTTTTATGACACACATCACATTCATAATATGGTCTATCTGGTAAATGAATATTTTTATGTGTAGATAAATGACTTTTTAGATTAAATTTTTTGTGACACACATAACATTCATATGGTCTCTCTGGTAAATGAACATTTTTATGTGTAGATAAATTATGTTTATGCCTAAATTTTTTATGGCACACATCACATTCATATGGTCTCTCTGGTAAATGAATATTTTTATGTGTAGATAATCTAGATTTAAGGGCAAAACTTTTATGACAAACATCACATTCATGTGGCTTGAGACTAGAATGGATAGCTATTTTATGTCTAGATAAATTACTCTTCTTTGCAAACTTTTTATGACACACACCACATTTATATGGTCTATCTCCTAAATGTATCTTTATATGGTTTGCTAAATGATTTTTAATATGATATTTTTTATGACACACATAGCATTCATATGGCTTATTAATTCCAGAATGAATATTTGTGTGTGTGGATAAACTAGACTTTGTAGTGAACTTTTTAGACAAACTAGACTTGTTGTATACCTGTTCTAGGTTTATTTTGTTAGTTTGTTCAACATGACTGATCATAACAACTTCTTGCTGATGAAAATCATGACCATATGGATTCACCCTTGTGTGAATGTTTATGTGTTGTTTAACATGATCAAAATGGAAAAATCTTTGACAACACATATCACACTTGTATGTCTTCAGTCCCTTATTGCTAATCAGATATTCTGTTGGGAGATTATCAATCAATTTTGTATGCAATAACTTGAGTTCTTTTAATTCATTCTGAAGATTTGATTTTAAAACTGCAAAATTTTCTTTAAAATCAGTTGAATCTGGTGGGGAAGAAAGTTGTTGCTGTGCTTTGAAACCATTTTGTTGTTCAATCTCCAAAGATGAAATTGTTAATATCTCAGGTTTTATATCTTCAAAAATTGAAAATGCTGTTGATAGATTTGGTTTCATGTCTTCAGAAGATGAAAATGATGTTGGGTTATCTTGTTTCATCTCTTTTAAATTAAACAAAGGCTTTGTTTTATCAAGATTTTTATCTTCTAAAGCTAAAAATTGCATTGTTTCCTCCAAGTATTTGTCTTTAACAGTTAAAAATTGTGTTGATACATTTTGCTTTATATCTTCAGAATTTGAAAAGAGGGTTGATATATTTGTTTGTACTCTTTCTGAACTTGAAATAGCTGATGTTTCATCTGATTTCATGTCCATCAATGTTATGATTTCATCACTCAATTCCTGTTTAACCATAATTGAACTCTTCCAAACTATACCATTAGTGTCCTTTGTGTTTTCCATAGCTTTAGATTGATGAATTATTGCAGAAAAAAACTGAAAAAAAATAATCTTGATTAGAAAACCAAATTAAAAATAGTATTTGAAAATATATTGATTGCATTTATAAAAATGTTTAAATATTTATGTCTTAACTTTACACTTGCTTAATTTTTTTTTTTAGAATTCATATAGATCTAAGAGACCTTAGACCCTTGCTCTTTTAGTTCAACCTTTATTAAATAGAAGAAAAAAATTCCTCTTCTCCTAATAAAGCTAGATTCATAAATTTAGTACCAATGGAAAGCTTAATGCCCACAAACTCATATGGTTTAGAGATAAAATACTCAAAAATGTAATTTTCATACTTCATAATTTTTTTTTTCAATTTTTTTTTAGATGTTAATGATAAATTTGACTATCTGAACTTGGCGGGATACAGGGCAGATGAAGTAGAGTTCATCTGCTTCTTTGTCCTAAGCATATGAAGGCATAGTGTTGTCAGAGACATGCTCAACGAGAATTGTTTTTATTTAAACAATAAAAACATGTTGTCTGAGACTTGGCGGGACACTGAAGTAGAGTTGAATAGGTCACCTGTGATATCATATATGAAAGGATAGTGTGGTCAGACGGTGACAGGACAAATGATCTCAGGACAAATGATTTCAGGACAAATGATCTCAATGACAAATGATCTCACGGACAAAAGATACCAGGACAAAATATATCAAGACAAATGATACCACGGACAATTGATCTCAGACAAAATATCTCAGACAAAATATCTCACACCAAATTTTAATAGTGTAGTTGATGATTTTAGTTGATCTGAATTTTTTTTATTGATTGTTATATGGTTTTGTTTATTATGTTTTAATATTGTTTATAGGCCTATATAATTTGTTGTAAGAAATGTTTGCCGTATAAATTTGTCATATTGCACTAAACATTTTAAAGTTAGTATTAGTAATATAGTATACGAAGATTAAAGATTGTTTTTGATAGACAGCGTAGGTGGACTTGCCAAACAGGAGACAATCCTACCACGTCAGGTGGAAGAAACTAGATAAAAGGAATGAAATAACAATAAAGACACACCTTTGTATCAAGGTGGCCGCCTGCGTTGATGGCAGAGACATGCCTTAAGGGAAAGACATCCGCCCTCCATGGACAATACAACTAGCATCAACAGTCAATAGTTATGCGTCGGTCACACCTTAGTGATCAGGTGACAAATTCTTATTTAAACAAACAGCGGTCATCACGGAGCTAAGTTTGTCGTAGTGTGCATCAAACAAGGCAGTATTAGTGGTGATTACTCAGTTATGGCCTCTTTCGTTACCTCGCAGATAGGTTTTAGGACATTAGTTTCTGGTGAATTTATGTTTGCCATAAGAAGGCAAAGAGATTTGAAAATGTGAAATTAGGACATGTCGAGCAAGAGTTCACACAATAAATGATCACATAGTATATGAGAGGTGTGATCATGTTGATGTAGGCCTACCTGCCAGCAAAGAAACGTAAACGTTATGTTTGTGTTGATGATGCAATAAAAACAATAGTTTAACGTTACGATCCTGAAGACCCATTCACATTTTTGAAAAATATTTCGCGAGTTTTGAACCTTAATGTTGTATAACTACCATTACTATATTTGTTTTATACATTATCATTTATTACAACTTTCAGGCTAAAGGAGTAAGTTTGATATAATTTTTACTTTTTCGAATCAAATGCTACGACAAAGTTTAATAAATCTTTTGATGGTTTGTTAGGTTTAACAAATTCATTTTACTCACAATTATTATGCGTAAAAAAGTAAAAAAAACCATATTAACAGTCAATAAAAAAAAAGTTCTAATCAACTAAAATCATCGTACATACTATTAAAATTTCGCTCTGAGATATTTTGTCTGAGATCATTTGTCCATGATATCATTTGTCCTGATATATTTTGTCCTGGTATCTTTTGTCCGTGAGATCATTTGTCCTGATATATTTTGTCCTGGTATCTTTTGTCCGTGAGATCATTTGTCCTGAGATCATTTGTCCTTAGATCATTTGTCATGGAACCGGTCAGACCTATGCTCAGCTGAAATCGGTGTTTTAAAAGATAAAAAACGTCTTTTTGAATGTGGGGTCTGGTTATTTTATGATGATAAATGACAGACGTAATGTTATGGATGACCCCCAAAACCTACAGTTATCCAAGGGATGACCAGGTAAGTCTAGTTAATTATTAATAGTCCTGTTATTTTATAATTTTTTAATTTTAAATTAATAGGCCTTGATGAGATTTTCAAGAAGGGCTATGAGTTGATAAAGAAGCATTAATATTAATTAATAATATTAATAGGCCTAAAATGAGTATATTTTGAATATTTTTGGATCTTTGTTATAAAATATTGTAAATCTATAAGTCTATTACCTACCTAAAAACCTATATTTACATATTTAAAGGTAGATTCTAATCTAATAATAAAAATAATAACTATCAATTTTAGTTTTAGGTACTAAAAATTATTTTAAAATAGGCCACAGCTAGTACTAGATATAGTAATTATTTTCATTTAGTAATGTGACAGAAATCCTTACCCTACCTAGATCTAGATCTAGTACCTACCATAGTCCATATGCCTACGCCCTGACCCTAATTTGAATTTCTAACTATAGGCCTATTAAATCAAAATGTCATAAAACAAACTTAGACGTATAGACTAGGATCTAGTTTTCTAGATCTAGATCTCTATAGTACTCTATAATAGTCTATACCAATTTTTTTTTACTGTGAAGTGTAAAATTTCTATATTTAATGGTAATCTATTGTTTAAGGTACGTAAAATCAGCCAAGACTAGTAATGTGAAAAAAAGTTGACTTATTAAATTTATGATTTCACATTTTTAGGAGGATTTAAGTTTTGAAAGCTACATAAATGTTTCAAAGTTTCATGTAACTGTTTTTAAATAAATGTATTAAAACTTTTCAGTAATAAATAAAGACTAGATCTAGCAATGTTTACATCCAATGCAACAAAGCTCATTTATTTTAGCAATCATCTTGTTTAAATTTTTTGGCTAAATTATAATTAGAGATTCAGGGGAAACCACTCTAATATACAGGTGGCCGCTGTATATATAGCAAATCTTGCTCGCAAACACTGGTGTTTAAAGTTAATTTCTGACCTATATTGATATATTTAGCCATTGCTTTATTATTCAGTAATCTATAATATTTGACAAAAATATATCATAATATACATCTATTAAAGTCTTAACAATGAGGCAATTTTTTCACATTACCAGCCTCGGAGGATTTTACGCACCTAAAACGATAGATTACCTCTAGATCTATATTAATCCTAATATATAAAAGTCCATTTTCGCACTTTTCGCTCTCTCTCTCTCTGTCCGCAAGTTTTTTAGGCGATTGTGATCAGAATGTTCAGCTAAATATGGAGAACTTGTAGATAGTGGCTTTTGTTGAAAATAATATATATGGTGAATGTTATAAATGTATTTAATGTATTTAATCTTAATTTTATTTAAAGAAGGGAAATACAATTTAAGGCATATTCGAATGTAGAAACGCAATTTTAATAATGCAACCAGAAAAGCATTTATTTTTGTGAAAAGAATGAAATAAACAATGACTTCACATGTGACATCTTTAAACTTTGGAAAGAACACAAAACAGTTCAAAACTAATGGCATCATCTTCCAATTTTAGAATATAAAGAAACGAGCCGGCCCGCGGCATAACATACGCCGCTATTTAGTTGTTGTTTTTTCTACTTTTCAGTAATTCATAATTTGTGAATTCGACAGTACCAACACTGACACTGAAAATATTTCTTTAAAACACTATAAGTAGCTCGTTAAGGACCATAACCCCCCCCCCCTCCCCCCACGTTTAAAATCGTTTCAAACTAAATTATCTGCCCCTAATAGCTGTCACTAAGCCCAACTCCACGAAGGTAAACATAGCGTGAACCACAGCTCACTAAGATCATGTAGGGGTGGGGATGTTAGGGAGCGCTCTTGCAGCTTGTTTTCTAACGGCTCGCAGAAGAGAATTATATATATAGATGAACTATTTCATTCAAATTTTATTTAGATCTACAGATCTACTTATGGGGACGTACGCTATGAAATGTATACAATTTTATCGCCTAAAAGTAATACAAATTACTTAAAGAAATAATTTAATTCTCTTAATCAGACTTAATCAGTGTGTTCATTTAATATGGTGTTGTGTTGACAAATAATGTAAATAATCCTGCCTGTCTGGTTTTTTTTGGACTTAACTAAAGATTGGATGTATCTGATGCTTTTAATATTTTCGGTAACTAAATAAAAATTTAAAAAAAGCAAAAACAATTTGGTTTTCATGTGTAATGGCGACCTAAACAATGGCATCCTGCTAATCGATAGGCCACCATAAATTTTATTGCACTCATTGTGAGCTAAAAAAAGAAAAACTCATGTTGTTTAAATTTGCATTGTTATTTAAAAACTTGATCTGCAAAGTTTTGTAAACAAAAAAACTATAAAGTGGTGCTGTCAGAAATCGTTCACGGAGTTCCTGAACAGCCAATCAATGTTTGTCTTACGAAAGTGAAACATCAGGTTATAACTTAGGCTTGATGAAAATAAATAGAAATGTAGCCTTAAACTCAACACATTATTTTCAAGTTCTCTGGATCTGCAACTTGTATAGCATTGCTTCAAAAATATTAAATTTCTGAATTAATTTTAGGCTTAAGTTTTTTTACAAAATTTTAGCCTATCTTTTATGATTTTTATGGTCCTAAAACTAAAAAAGCACATTTGTATTCCATGTCAACAACATTACAGAAGGATTTTCGTCAATTTTTCGTCAACTCACTGGTGTCCATTTGGCATTTAGGCCATAATATTATATATTATTATTAATAAATTATTAATAATAATATTCATAGCCTAACTATTGGTAGCCGTTGTTATTTTAAATGTGCCGGATTTTTAGCTATTTGGTTATTTCTTTGCTTTGTCACTAGTTTTGACCAATAGGGCTTACAACTAGATCTAGACTAGAATTCTAGATCTAGATTCTAGATCTAACTATTTTATAAAATATTTTTCTCCAACATGTTTAACATCAATTTAGGCCTATGGTAGGGACTTTGAGAAAATTTTCAAAATGATTTACCTAGGTTAAAAAGCATATCATCTTAAAGAGCTACATCAGATTAAGACAAAACAGTTTACTTTTTCAAAATTGGACATTCCGTTTTAAAGTTATGATTTTTTTACTGAATTAAAAGTTACTATAGGATTTGGTGGTAAATTTCGCGGGCAAATTTTGTGTGTTCTTCATATAAACCAATGCCAAATCTCTATTACATGGAAATTTGTATTCAAATTTTCAGAGTTTCAAGATTAATATGTTATGAGGCAATTAAACTTAACATATTTGTAAAAATATGAAAGAGATGACAAAATGTGTGCCCTGAGGTGATGCAACCCCCCTAATTTTGTAAAGTGACTTTTTTGAAGTTTATCATTATTCTAAATCTAACAGGTTATCAATATCAATATTATGCCACAATCTGAATGTGTTAAGAGTCACTTTAAGGGACCTCATAACCTGGAGCTTTGTAATGTAATTTTAGACTCATTTCTCTCCAACCGGTAAAGGTTCAGATATCGCCAAACATAAATCTAGACAAAAATAAATAGACAGTTAAATTAGTTAAAAAAGAATTGCTCCATGGCTATGTGGCTATTGACTTGTTCACGTGTGTGTTATTTTAAATGTGCTGTATTTTTAGCTATTTGGTTATTTCTTTGCTTTGTCACTAGCTTTGACCAATAGGGCTAACAACTAGATCTAGATCTAGAATCTAGATTCTCTCTAAGTCTAATCTATTAGTATTACACTATTAGTATTACGGTACCTATTTATTTTTGTATTTAGCTGCCTAAATTTTATAAAATATTTTTCTCCAAAATGTTTAACACCAAATAGGCCTATGGCTATGCGGCTATTCACTTGTTCACGTGTGTAAGCTTTAGTAACATTAGACCTTTCTTATCTGATGTTGTAATTCGTAAATGATCTTAAAACACTCCTAAAATGAACTTTTTTGCGATGTTTGTCGTTTGAGATACAAAACTTTGATCCCCATCTTGAATATATTATTAGAGTAATCTCCCTTGAAGACAAGAGTTCCCAAACTACACCGCTTTTACATTTACGACATGTAGGCTATGCTATACATTTCTAGTAGTTTTTTTTTTTAAATCTGGTTAGAGTAGGGCTTATGACACACATCCCCCCCCCTCGTTTTTACAGTCAGTTGATTAAGTGTGATCCCAAGAGCACGTTCTGGTGGGCCTAAAGATTTATTCACGTCAGACTGAAACAGAAAATATGTTTATACACTTTAAATAGTAAACGAAGTGTTGCCTACGCCTATGCTCTTGATGAAACCGAAACGAATAAAAAGAAGAAATCACAAAAGTTTCGATCAGTGGTTCTTAATACCTGTTCTATCGAACCCAAGAGGTTCGGTAAGTCAGTCTCAGTGCTTTGGCGAAGGTCATGGCGCACACCCGACTCGTAGGTTTCAAGATTTTATCTGGACGATAAAACTATTAAGAAGGGTTCGGTGAAGGCGCATATGAAATTGGTAGGGTTCGGTACCTCCAAAAAGGTTAAAAAAACACTGCTTTAGACTAGCGTGTACTTTGTAAAAGGTGCAAGCATATTTGGTCTACTTTTTGCTTTGTCTTTTTAACAATTCCGATAATAGTGTATTACACTTTTAAATTATCATTTAGGTTGAACAAAGTAAGCATTAGCAGTCGTCGTTTTGTACCATTTTTACATCGTTTGGTAAGTTTAGTGGCCTTAACTATATGAAAATTGCAGTATTATGACTTGCCTTTGCTCCCCAGGAGCCACAAAGGAACGATGATGAAAAAAGCAATCAAAGAAATATCAATTCTGTACAATATACTATTTTTTAGCTCTTAAAATTTCGGCAAGAGTATTGTTTTCCAGCCAACCGCTCCGACCGTATGCTATTTTATTAATCGGATAGCGATTCAAGACTCCGTGATATTTAATTCTCTTTACTACAGTGACCCAGGCAAGATGTAATGCAATCAAGTAAAAGTATCTGATCTTTCAAGTTGCAGTCGAGCGAATCGTAAGAATCCTACAAAGAACTAGTTGAGTCATATCTTAACAAAACTGGCTAGTGAAATTGTACATTACACACTAATACAAATGGTTTATACTCTTAGTCTTAGTGTAATACGATTTATCTAATCACCGTTCCGGTGTAAATCCTTCCCATTTACATTGGCGAAAAAAACGTGCCACGGCCACCCACCATACTTTTTTATTTTACTGTTACACAATACGCTTTGATATCATTAGTTTATTTCTAGGTTTTAAAACCAATCCAGTACAAATACTTGCGATTTTTGTTCGCGAAAAAGCGCCCCCACCCCCACACTCCTCCCCATCATCTTAGACAAGGTTCGTAGAACAGGTTTTAATCGTGCCATGCACTTTGGTAAAATAGAATCTTTTCTAAGCGATCTGGGTTATCTCCTCAACAATCCAGTGTAAATCCTTGCAATTATATTTAGCAAAAAAAGCGCCCACCCCCTTTTACTATCTTGATAAAAGTCACAACATTTTTTACGGTTAAAAAATCGTACAATACGTTTTAATACGATTGGGGTTTTTTTTTCATAAGTGGTAACGTTTAACCACTAATCAATCTAATTTAAATTTTTACGATTTTGGTCGCGAAAAAGCCCCCCCCCCCCACACACATATCTAGCGATTTTTGCCGATCACTGTTTCTAAATGTTACATATTTGACAGTTAAACTATCAAGATAAATAAGTATGTAAAGGCTTGTAGCCATTACATTTCTTAACTTAGACTGTTTATAATTTAAAACTGCAGCATAAAATCAGTTTTAAAAAAATGTCCACCCCTTTTGGTGCCCCCTAGGGTCGGCGCGCGGGGCAGCCTCCCCCCCTCCCCCCTCCCTAGCTACGCTTCTGCGTCAACTAATGCATTAACTAAAATCCCTTATTATCTGTCCGTAAGTATTAGACAAAATACGAAACATAACTGGCGAAAATCAATACTACTGTGACTGTCTTTAAGATTAGAATCCACAAACTCGAGTGCCGTACTCTATTATGATAATTGTTCTTCAGTCTCTTTGGAAGCCATATTTTTACCTGCACTTTCGGATGGTTTTAGCATCTCTTAAGTAGGCGTTTCAACATTTAGATCATCTATCAAGATCCACGTTCTCACCACTCATTTGATGACTCAAACTAATCAACATATTATTGCATTCCATTTAATGGGTCATCAGAGCGCGACTGCTAAACCGAAAGTCTCCAGTTGGAATGCAGATTAAAGTGAGTAGTATGCTTTGAGTTGAACCAGCTCTGATAGTACCTAACCCAGTGGCGTAGCGAGTTCGGGTGCCACCCGGTGCGGCACTTAATGGTGTCACTCCCCCCAGAGGCGTAGCGACCCTTCCCGGCGCCCAGGGACAAACTTTTCCATTTTTCCATTTGCTATCCCCTCTCAAGATTTCGACTTGCACCCCCCCCCCCATCAAGCTTTCGATTTCCACCCCCCTCAACCTTTCAATTTATTTTTCCAACCCATTTTGGCGCCCCCTAAGGTCGGCGCCCGGGGACATATATGTCCCCCCCCCCCGCCCCCCTCTCGCTACGCTTCTGCCCCCCACCCCTACCAGAGGCGTAGCGAACCTTCCCTTGAACAAACTTTCAAACTTTCGATTTGCACCCCCCCCCTCAAACTCGATTTGCACCCCCCCCCCCCCTCAAGTTTTTCTCTATATATTTTTCTATTTTTTGCCTTGGTGTCACCCCCTTAAATGGTGTCCCCCGATGCGATCCGCACAAGACTAAGCATTCAGTATCTCCCTCAAGCACAGAATTAACCTCGCTGTATTCCTTTAGTCCACGGGTTCCCAACCTGGGGGTCGCGAAGGGCTTTCTGGGGGGTCGCCAACTGATATACTAAATTAGGGGTCTCCAAAATACGGCCGGATGCGGCCCGCGATGTCCTCTCATCCGGCCCGAGAAGATATTTTTGTCCACGGATAAAACGTTTGTTGTTGATGGCTGAGGAACTTTGCACAGAAAAATCAAAAACATGCCTGAAAGAACCTGGCCCCCGAACTGGGAAATTGAATCTTCTTCCCCCCCCCCCCCCCCCTTTCAACACAGAAAGAAACCTATTCAACAACTCCCCAAAGTGTGATGGCGATAGGTGTAAGGTGTAGTAATGCCATAAGGACAAATCAACAAACAAACCCACACACATTCATTTATATATATATAAATATATATATATGTGTATATATATACATGTGTGTATATATATATACATATATATATATGTATGTGTATATATATATACATATATATATATGTATGTGTATATATATATACATATATATATATGTATGTATATATATATGTATGTATGTATATATATATATGTATGTATGTATGTATATATATATATATATATATATATATATATATATATATATATATATATATATATATATATATATATATATGTATATATATATGTATGTATATATATATATATATGTATGTATATATATATATATATATATATATATATATATATATATATATATATATATATGTATGTGTATATATATATACATATATATATATATATATATATGTATGTGTATACATATATATATATATATGTGTATATATACATATATATATATATATATATATATATATATATATATATATATATATATATATATATATATATATATATATATATATATATATATAGGTCTAGATCTATATATCATAACAGCCTATCCAATCATAATAACCCTAACAAAATGGAATAAACGCTTTCTGATTAATTAATAGCTGAAAATATTTATTATGTCTTTAAAAAAAAAGATAAATTAAACATCAATAATAATCATAATAATAAATTGTATCTTATGTCTTAAAAATTTAATCATTTACAGCTACATTAATTAATACATTTTGTTCCTCACTATAATTATCATAATTATGTTCAACTTAATGGGTTAAATAATTATTTATACAAAATTTAGAATTGCATAAAATGGAATATATTCAATATAGAAAAATATAGAGTATTACTTCAATGATTCAAATTATAATTGTACATTTAGAATGGTGGTGTTTATTAGTGGTTAGTATTAATTGTATTGGTAATGTAAAGGGTAAGAATTTAGCCATCATATTTTCCAAAAAACCTGAACAAGGCTAGCCATAACACCTTGTACAAGATAATAAATGTGCTATGGTTATTCATGACATCCATTTTATCCATGTAGTTTTTCTTCCCCTGTGTGAAATGTCTAGATAGCATTTTAATCATTAGTAATACTTTGTATGACAAATAATACTATGAATGAAGAGTATTATATCCTGTATGACAAACATTAATGGTGTGTTTTCAGCCTACACAATGTGATATAAGTACAAAAGCAACAATTTTATTTACAGATAATTAAAGATCCTTGTGAAAGAGAATTTAATGACCAACAACACATTCAGGTGGCTTAAAGTCCTGAGTGAAATGTTGTGTGTGTGTACATTAACTAGACTTAAGAGCAAACTTTTTATGACAAATGTCACATTCCTATGGCCTCTAGTAAATGAATATTTTTATGTTTAGATAAACTACATTTATAATCAAATTTTTTGTGACACACATCACATTTATATGGTCTCTCTGGTAAATGAACATTTTTATGAATTGATAAATTACCTTTATAATTAAAATTTTTATGACACACATCACATTCATATAGTCTCTCTGGTAAATGTATATTTTTATGTGTAGATAAAGAACCTTTTTGACTAAATTTTTTATGACACACATCACATTCATATGGTCTCTCTGGTAAATGAATATTATTATGTTTTGATAAGTCACTTTTATGATTAAATTTTTTGTGACACACATCACATTCGTATGATCTCTCTGGTAAATGAATATTTTTATGTGTTGATAAATAACGTTTAAAATTAAATTTTTTATGACACACATCACATTCATATGGTCTCTCTGGTAAATGTATATTTTTATGGTCTGATAAATTACCTTTATGATTAAATTATTTGTGACACACATCACATTCATATGGTCTCTCTGGTAAATGAATATTTTTATGATTTGATAAGTCACTTTTATGATAAAATGTTTTGTGACACACATCTCATTCATATGGTCTGTCTGGTAAATGAAAATTTTTATGTCTAGATAAATAACCTTTATGCTTAAATTTTTTGTGACACACATCACATTCATATAGTCTATCTGGTTTATGAATATTTTTATGTCTAGATAAATGAAATATACGATTAAATTTTTTGTGACACACATCACATTCATATGGTCTCTCTGGTAAATGAATATTTTTATGTGTAATTAAATTACATTTTTGACTAAATTTTTTGTGACACACATCACATTCATAATATGGTCTGTCTGGTAAATGAATATTTTTATGACTAGATAAATGAAATTTATGATTAAAATTTTTGTGACACACATCACATTCATATGGTCTCTCTGGTAAATGAATATTTTTATGTGTAATTAAACTACTTTTATGACTAAATTTTTTGTGACACACATCACATTCATAATATGGTCTGTCTGGTAAATGAATATTTTTATGACTAGATAAATGAAATTTATGCTTAAATTTTTTTTGACACACATCACATTCATAATATGGTCTCTCTGGTAAATGAATATTTTTATGCTCTGATAAATCAACTTTATGATTAAATTTTTTATGACTCACCACACATTCATATGGTCTCTTTGGTAAATGAATATTTTTATGTTTTGATAAATAACGTTTAAAATTAAATTTTTTATGACACACATCACATTCGTATGATCTCTCTGGTAAATGAATATTTTTATGTCTTGATAAATAACGTTTAAAATTAAATTTTTTATGACACACATCACATTCATATGGTCTCTCTGGTAAATGAATATTTTTATGATTTGATAAGTCACTTTTATGATAAAATGTTTTGAGACACACATCACATTCATATGGTCTGTCTGGTAAATGAATATTTTTATGTCTAGATAAATAACCTTTATGCTTAAATTTTTTATGACACACATAGCATTCATATGGCTTATTAATTCCAGAATGAATATTTGTGTGTGTGGATAAACTAGACTTTGTAGTGAGCTTTTTAGACAAACTAGACTTATTGTATACCTGTTCTAGGTTTATTTTGTTAATCTGTTCACCCTGACTGATCATAACAACTTCTTGCTGATGAAAATCATGACCATATGGATTCACCCTTGTGTGAATGTTTATGTGTTGTTTAACATGATCAAAATGGGAAAATCTTTGACAACACATATCACACTTGTATGTCTTCAGTCCCTTATTGCTAACCAGATATTCTGTTGGGAGATTATCAATCAATTTTGTATGCAATGACTTGAGTTCTTTTAATTCATTTTGAAGATCTGATTTTAAAACTGCTAAATTTTCTTTAAAATTAGTTGAATCCGATGGGGAAGAAAGTTGTTGCTGTGCTTTGAAAACATTTTGTTGTTCACTCTCCAAAGATGAAATTGTTAATATCTCAGGTTTTATATCTTCAAAAATTGAAAATACTGTTGATAGATTTGGTTTCATGTCTTCAGAAGATAAAAATGATGTTGGGTTATCTTGTTTCATCTCTTCTAAATTAAACAAAGGCTTTGTTTTATAAATATTTTTATCTTCTAAAGCTAAAAGTTGCATTGTTTCCTCAGAGTATTTGTCTTTAACAGTTGAAAATTGTGTTGATACATTTTGCTTTACATCTTCAGAATTTGAAAAGAGTGTTGATATATTTGTTTGTACTTCTTCTGAACTTGAAATAGCTGATGTTTCATCTGATTTCATGTCCATAAATGTAATGATTTCGTCACACAATTCCTGTTTCGCCATAACTAAACTCTCCCAAACTATACCATTAGTGTTGTTTGTGTTTTCCATAGCTTTAGATTGATGAATTATTGCACAAAAACTGAAATAAAAATAATCTTGATTAGAAAACCTAATTAAAATTTGTTTTTGAAAATATATTGATTGCATTTTTAAAAAATGTATAAATATTTCATAACACCATAGAATTTTTTAAGTCATAAAAAAGATCAAACAGGCCTTATTGAGCTATGGTAACATTTGTTTTAATAACTGAAGTGTCTATTATCAATTAGAAGTTTATGAATAGATTAATAGTTAAAAACAGTGTTCATGCCTTAGCACACCATGGTTGGGTGGCACAGTGCACATCTGTTAACCCATATCCCCAGAGTTTGAATCTCAGTAGGGAATCATATAATCATGTTTTCTTTGTCTTTTGCCTTTACTAATCAAAGGGCGACTCCTTTTTTTTATAAGCCATATTGTTTTTCTCTATATAATTTGTCACAGTAAAAATCTACTTTTTTAAGAAAAGCATACCAACAAACTAAAATGAGTAAATGTAACTTAGTAAACATTGGTGGGTGATACAACTTGGTGACGTCATTTATGGACACATTTTTTTTTCCCCGCTGATAGGTACAAAAACCTTACTACATTTTAAGTTTCTCACCACAAGTGTTTGAATGTAAACTTTGTATCGCCGTGCATTTTTTGTGTTATTACTGTAGCCTGGGCGACAAAGCTGTTTTATTGTGAGCGTTTATGACGCGAGCGCTTAGCCACGTACATTGTTCTTATTGATGAGCGGTTTTGTCAGGGATTTCAGTGTTGGTTTTGTCAGGGATTTTAATGTCAGTTTTGTCTGGGATTTCAGTGTCGGTTTAGTCGGGGATTTCAATGTCGGTTTTATCGTGGATTTCAATGTCGGGAGGTCTGTCCTATGGACAGTAACATTTTGTGGTGGGATATTTTCAAGGGAGCCGTATGTCACAAGGATATTTTTTTTTAACGGGATCGATTTGTCAGAACCTTTAATATTGCCCTGTCTGAGTATTTTTTGATGCATGAGGATAACCAATATGCAGCTTCTTGTTACAAATTTAGAAAACATCGTTTATACTTGCCTACATTTTTATTTTGCTTTATAATTATATATGTGTTTTTATTTGCTAGTTATATTTTATTTATTGTTATGCAAATTAAGTATGTTTTATATTCCAGACAGAATATGCACTTCTAAAGCAGAGCAGAAACCAAATGTAGAACTATATAAATTATAATAAAGCTCTTTGGTGTACTCCTATATATAAATAATTCATCATTATTTTTTTTTTACTCTAATAAAATTACAAGCATATTTATTGAGATTAAAATTAAATGAAGCCCAGCAATGGAAAGCATTTGAGCCAGCAGTGAAGAAAAAAATATTTCTTTCAAAATGACAAATGTTCTTTAGAAATGCTAAATATTTTGGTATAAATAAGAAACATTATTATAAACAAAATTTAACTAGATCTTCATTTAAAAGTAGTGTGGTTATGACTATGCCCAGCTGTCTTCAATTTCCATAAAGAATATTAGGTACTCATTACAGCTGGGTGGACTCGGGCATGTCCTATCAACCTTAGTCCTGGATCCGAACTTGAGGCTTATGGTTAACATTTGGGAATTCTATCATCGGACTAAGTCATCCCTTCATTTAATTACAATCACTGAATCAGACTAAGGGTCTTAAATGATTTGCCATCAAAGTAACATCAACATATATATTTTCACTTTTGGAACAATGATAATGATAATCATTTATATAATTACAAATTGAGTTGTATCAATTCTTCAGCTCAATGAAAAGAAAAACATACCTTTATGATAATTATTTAGTAATAGACACACTTTTAAAACTTCATTCGAGCAAGCTCTGTGCTTGATATGTTTAATAGATAGATAGAACTCACACTCAGGTTGTGCGAAAGTTTTGGTTTTTTAAAAGGGGGGTACCTTCTTCAACCATATATTTCTGGCAAACAGATGGAGTCACAACCAATATTTTGATTCTTTCTTTTGTAGTAGGCCTATAGAGTTATCTAAAGTTAAGCAAATTTTGGGACTTAAATGCTCAGTAGTTTAAATTTGTCATAATTTTAGTATTTCACATAAACCAGACTTCGGTTTTGTAGAATCGCATGATTTATCAGCTTTGCATCATGATATACAGAAACCTTTCAAGCTATGATCAATATTTTTATATTATTCATTGACACACCCATCGTTACTCTTTCTGAGTTATTTTGAGCTTAATATTTCAAAGAGTTAAAATTTAAACTGTGGTTGTATGAAAGCACTACGTGTTCAAAAATAGGGGGTCCCATGTTCAACTTTTGTTGTTCAAAAATTCTAAACATAAATGTCTTATTTTTTTGTTTATTATGCTTCCATATATGATTAAAAAAGATACTGAAAAGTTTAAACAGATTCTACCATGTAGTTTACAGGCTATGATCATTTTAGTGCACACTAAAAAATTCTTTATCACAGAAATATAAAAAATCCTGTTAAAAAATGCACCTTTTATAATAGATAAAAAAAGCATAGCTTTTTAACCATTAAAGCTACATCAAAAAGGAAAACTGTTCTGTGATTCTAATTTTTTGCTCCTTTTACTTGCAGTCATTGTATTGCAATCAAACCATATAATTTTTAAAATTCTATCCTAGTACCTAATATAATCAACAAATTTCTGTAATTATTTCACATTTTTAGAAAGATTTATGTTGTAAAAGTTTTAAAGAAATGTTTCAACCCTCCATTCATGTACCTGTTTTTAAACAAATGTATTAAAACTTTTCAGTAATAAATAAAGATGTAACCAAGCTCGTTTACTTTAGAAGCCATCTTGTTTAATTTAGTTTTTTGGTAACATTTTAGCGAGAGATTCAGGGGAAAGCACTCTTATTTACAGATGGCCGCTGTTTATATAGAAAATCTTGCTCTAAAACAAGGACAAGGCTTTTTAAAGTCAATTTTTGGCCTTTGATAAATTTAGACATTGCTATTGGTTTATTATTATGTATTATATATGACGCAAAAATATAATAATATAGGCCCCCCCTACTTGTATTAAAGCCATATTAATGAGCCACCTTTCTCGCACATTACTAGCCTCTGCCGATTTTACGTACCTAAAACAATAGACTCATACCTAGAATATATATAGGCTAGGCATTTTTGTAAAAATGTTTCTATTTAACACAGAATGATAAAATTTACATATAATTAGCGTGTTATCTTTTTCGCGCATGCCTTTTTTCCATGGTAATCATGGCGTTGACCTTTGCCCTGACTGGCTTGTTTCCGCTGTACATGTTTATTAGTGGGCATGTCAAATCCAGGTGTATTGCGTGCTCATCTGTCCATATTATGACATGGTGTGTAGTTAGTAAAGTCGCCGACAGGTCTGCAGACCCTATGCGTTATTTCTTAAAGAAAATTATTCTCTATTTTAAGTAGGAACATGGTGCTTAAATGCATGGTGAGTACTTATTTATTTATTTATTTTTGTTGATAATTATCTCTTGTAAGTGAAATATGAAATATTAAAAACTTCAGTGACACCGTGCATGAAAATAATTTAAAAAAAAAAAGACTCATTAACCTCCGGATTAAAAGAAATACTCTGGAGTAAGCATTAGCCCATTTTTGCGCCAAATTTGAGTAACTTCTTAATAATTTAATAATATTACATAATATTTATTCAGTATATTAATTTTCAGAGGATTTTTTCTATGATCTTAGCGTTTCTTAATTTTTAAAAATCCTTTAAAACATGTTTTCGAATAGTATTAAGTTCGTATTTTACATTTTCCGTGTTATTTTCAGTGTGTTGAACAATTTTGCGAGAACTGGCGAACACGACTAGGCCTAAGAATGCCTAACATCTAGTGACGTATCATAAAAATATTGCTTTTTTTTATCATGTTGGCAGACACATAGTTAACTTAGATTTAATCATACACTTGGCAGACACATAGTTAACTTAGATTTAATCATACACTTGCAGTTAGGCCTAAATAATATTAAATATCATAATAGGCCTAATCAATAGCAGTTTGAATTTAGTTTTGTAATTCTGGTAGCAGATTTTCAATTTACTATAAAATCTATTAGGCCTATTTTCCTTTATTTTTCCATGCCTTGTAGAAATTAAATATATGACACTGTTTTTCTTTTCCATAAAGGCTACAGCAATCATGAGGAATCAGGGTTAAGTCTTAGTTCACTATGGCTAACTGGTATAATTCATTTATCAAGTTATATCTGACATACAGACCAGCAAAAGGAATAGGTCTATTTATATGGTATCCTAAGTATAACTAAGTATTTAATCTGTTTAGTTTGATTGAACCCTTATTAATATTATTTTACTCAAACACTTTTTATTAATTGACAAAGCTTTAGGTGGATTCCCAAGCCAAGATTTATTCATATTTTATTAATAGTAGAACTTCAGTTGGTAATAATACTAAAACCTTGTTAAAAATATGTGTGTCCCATTGATTTATGGTACATTTTCTATTCTTCGACTGACATCTCTAACAAAGACTAAATGTTTACACTAAACTACTTGTGTCTTTTACTTTAGTCAGTGTATTTTTAGGTGCCCTTTTGTTTTGTTTTTTAAACCCATACAGGATTCAGGATTATGCATTTAAATTAATTTTGTTAACGACAAATAAATTGCTCATTCAAGTAAACTGTTTACGTTAAACACAATTTAATAAAAATCCAAAATTTAAAAAAAAACTACTTTATATTTTTAAATACTGCAGTCATTCAGTTTGGCTACAAGATCTGCATAAAGTTATTGCTGTTTTACCTTTAACCATTGCTTAAATATCTTTTTCAAAGGTGTGGAAGCTGCACAGCTAACGACTCGTCAGTTTAACATAAGAGATGTTGGATGGCAAAGTGTAGTGAAGACTTGGTTATCTGAGGTATTTACTCCTTTTAGATTCAATTTTATCTTAGGGTATATGTGTATTAATTTTGTAACTATTCGTAATTGATGTGTTATTAGTGTTTGTGCCAAACTAGCCTTTCAGTACATGAATTTATCCTTTTTACAAGTATTTTATTCTTCTCTTTGCAGCTCTGCTTAAGGAACAACATGCATCTGATAATGCTGATATCCATAGTGAGCAGACAGTAAGACTGTACAATGAAATTTAATATCTTGATGTCGCATTAATTACAGGAAATTCAGTTATAATAATTCAGCTAATGGAATAGTGCCAAATTTTCTCATCTTCTGTTATGTCTTATGTCCTATTGATGATGTTGATGATGTCTATTTTTAGTCATGTAGGCTTTGCAATTCTAAAACTTAGGTTTATTAAAATTTATCCAGGATGTTTTAACTGGTGTTGTTACTTGTTATGGTTTGACATTTTTTCATTATTGAATAAACTTTGTTTTATTTATAACATTTCTTTCTATTCCTGTGCATCAAAGCTATGATTAAAACACTACTATTAATATTAGCATGGAGTTATGTTACAAATGCTTTTCACAAGCATACTCTTACTATTTCTTTATGGGTATTAATTACTATTAGTATTTGGAAATAGCTAGACTATATGGAATTGGCTTACTATTTATCCAACTTTAAAAAAAAAATCCAAATAAACATGACATGAAACTGCTTAAACAGTGTTGTCGCATAATTTCCACCACCCCAGGTACAGTACACTACATCTACATGTATTACAATGTTTGGTCAACCATTATTGTGTTGCATGTGTAGGTCTGCTCTACTTCATCTACCCAAGTAACAAGTTACTATAATAAGTAATTACACATTTCTAAAGAAAAACTGGTTGTAAAATAGTACAATAGTAGTAACATTATTTAGTATTCAGTCTAAGTATTAATAAATCAGTTTAAAAAATTAAACTAGATCTAGTTTATTTTAAAAGTTGCATTTTTTTAACACAATGTCAATCTGTTATGAGGATGACATTTAATTACTCATTTAATAAATCACTTCAGTCCAATATAACTGAAACAATAAGCCTTATTATAATTTTTTAATTTTTCGAAAAATGCAAATACAGGATGATGCAATAAAATTATAATTTTTTGAAAAATGCTAATCCGTGATAATGCAATGAAAAAACCATATGTGCCAACTTTTTTACTTCCGTAATATTGACTTGAACTACGAAGGTCTAAGCTGTTTTAGCCACGCCCACAATTTTTTAAAAGCACATAAATTAGCTCCTAATGAAGCTAGAGACACAAAAATGGTATTGATGTGTTGGGAAAAAAATCCTTTTTTTGTGTGGTATAATTTTATCTGAAATTAATGTAGTTCAAAAACTACGAGCAACAACCTAATATAATCAAGAAGAGGTTCTGCCATTTAATAAACAAAAAAAACTATCATTCTAGGCCCAGTAGTTTTTTTTATATGAATTTTTAAAGCTTTAGGTAAAACAGCTTATATGTTCATGTAAAGTTGCAAAATATTTAGTGCCCTTCTTTGGGTTTGTATAACGAAGTTATTAAACAAATAATGTTAAAAATGTGAACATTGATGCTAGAGAGTGTAGACAATAGGAATATGCAAGTGAAATAAAGATCAATTAAAAGGAAAAGAATTTATAATTACCTTAATTAAGCCCAATTAAGGCGTGTGGTGCAGTTCTACAATGAATGTCACAAGTCACTTTTCATACTGCATATCTATGTTGTTATTGATGATATAAAGATAAAACTTAGCACATAGATGCCTAAGGATATGGAAATAGAAACTTACAAGTTAATACATGCTAGAAGAAAAAGAAAATCACATATAATGAAGTCTAACTAAGGGGGTGGGACTGAAATTTTGCATCAATAATACCTGGGTATTATACTCATACTGTAATATGATATGATTAGGATTATGTTGAAGTATCTAAATATTAGTAGCATTAGTTGTAGGCTACTTTTAATAAGTAGCCAAGGATTGCTAATCAATAAATGGTGTAACCGTAACAGAAACTAGACGAGATGTGTGGCAACGGAAGGATAGACAGCTGCCTTATTTGCTAATCTGAACCTACAATATAAAAAACATTGCTGTTGCTTAGTTTGTTATTTGTAAGTAAAATTAAAGGAAGTGGCTATTCGGACCCGGGTCCTAATAGCCTCGGCCACTATTGGGACCTGGCATTAAGTTTGTTAAGCACTTGTACAACCTGTATTAAAATTATACCTTTTATGTTTAGTCTATTTGATTTTTCTTGTGGATTTGCTCGTATTTTGGAACAGTTCTAATGCTTTTTTAAAATACGCTAAAATGGAGTTTTACCGAATAATCTATATCAGTATATCTAGATTCTCTAGATTCTAGATCTAGATCTAGATTAGTACTAGTAGAATCTAACTATTTAGTAGTATTTAGGCCTACTATTTTATAAAATATTTTTCTCCAACATATGTTTAACATCAAATAGGCCTATCGGCCTATGGCTATTGACTTGTTCACATGTGGAAGCTTTAGTTACATTAGACCTTTCTTATCTGATGTTGTAAGTAGTAAATAATCTTAAAACACTCCTAAAATTAACTTTTTTGCGATGTTTGTCGTTTGAGATACTAAACTTGGGTCCCCATCTTGAATATTTTTTAGAGTAATCTCCCTTGAAGACAAGAGCTCCCAAACTACACCGCGTTTACAGTGATTTACACTTACGACATGTATACTATACACTTCCAGAACACAAAGCCCGCCAAAAAAATTCTTTTATCTGGAACGATTTTCTCTACAGAACATGTAAACTTTTGCGTTCACACTTACAGAACGGTGCTTGCGATTCAGCAATGAATTATCTAAAAATTAGAGAACATGCAAGATTTTTTGCATTTTATTGGAGTGCCAGGCTAGACAGTTTTTTTAAATAAATATAATGATGTGTATAATAAGCTATAATAGCACGGGTCGTAGACATTACCCACCTCTTATTACCCCTCCCTCCCATCCCGCAGTACAATCCCCCCTTCCCACCCCAACCCCATGTTAGCCATTTCCCCAGCTTCTTTAATTGCTTGTCTATATCCTTCTGAAACAGCTTCCAATAAACAAGGCTAAATATTTGTTTGCTGAAAGTAAAGGCCCGATTTCTCTGAAAACTTGCATCTTCCAAGTTCATTAAACGAATTGAGATTGTGTTATTACTATACTGAGCCTATTATTAAGAATAAAAGTAGATCTAGTTTTTAGAGTAGGGGGTCATCCATAAATGACGTCACGCTTTTTTGACGATTTTTACCTCCTCCCTCCCCTCCGTCACTCAGGGAGCGAAGACAAAAACTTGACCCAGAACATAAAAAGGGGCGTGGTTTTGTGCCCCGCGCCTCAGAAGAAGTTCCATACTTTAGTAGGTCAAGTCTAGTATACATGTCATAAGTGTAAATGCGGTGTAACAATTTTCTCCACAGAAAATGTATAATTTAGCGTTCACACTTACATAACATGTTATAGAACATTTTATAAAACAAGCATGACCTTTGACACGGAGCGTCTGCTATATAGGCCCAGATAATTAAAATAAAGAGTAATCAAAGTAAAAAAAAACGTAGATAGTGGGCACGCAGCTTTATCTCTATTCTACTAAAACTTAACTTTGTTTACATGTTTGAATATTTGTTTGTCTAATTTACTACTGGAGAGAATCTGCCATATGTATAGACCTGTAAAATAGTATGTAGGTAGAGAACAATTTTTGTTTTCAGACATACTGTTAAATTACAAATTTATTTAAAGACGTTAATTAATTTATTGATTTATTCATTGGTAGATTAACCACATTAATTTAAAATTTTTCAAACAATGGCTTTACCTTGACTGAATAGTGACGTCACATGTTTTGTTTACTTTTTAGTACAATAAAATGGTGACTTCCATCATAGACTTTGTGGCTCATTCAAAAGTTCAACGCGTTCTATGGCTAATTTTCTATCGGCTATAACTTTAACAATACGTCCGTTTGCTGTTTTTATTACGTTCCAACACTTATATAAATTTTCAACTGTTTTTTTCATTTAGTTTTACAATAAATTTCTCGAGCTCTAGAGTGGTTTAAATTGTTCGTTCAATGGCCAGTGGTTAATATAAAAGTCATGCCTTTAGGTATATTAAATAAAGAGATAGTGTTAGTAAGCACACAATTTTAGACAAATTACGAAATACGCTCTTAGTGCTAAGTTCTTCGGGCTTTGACCAAGAGAGCAGGCCAATGCGCACATTGGCCGCACTTCGGGCTTTGCCCGTAACATATGTATATATATATATATATATATATATATATATATATATATATATATATATATATATATATATATATATATATATATATATATATATATATATATATATATATATATATATATACATATACATATACATATACATATAGTTTCAGGTTAAGCTTATGTTGATGTTCGAATATATCTGCTAGGTATGCTACTCTCTCCAACCACTCTTTGTCGTCAAAGTATATCAAAATATCTTGTTTCCGTTTATCTTCTAAGATTTATTTTATCTTTCAATTTAAAAACGCGATTCGCAATATTTTCCTTTGACAGCCAACTTACTGTAGTGAATAAAAGCAGAACTTCGTGATCTTTATCATTTCTTTGCACCGTTCTTTAAACAGACGTGTGTTTAGGACTCCAGATTTATTATTATAATTTACGACGTTTATTAGCAATGGTGTCGGAAGAGTCTTACTGGCGAGGGCATACCGGTGAATCATGCAGTAGATTTCCCATGGGTTAGGCAGCTAAATCTTTTATCGTTTTCTAAAAGCCCGATTTTGACCCAAACATAGATGGCGCACCATCCGTACAAATCCTACAGACGTTTTTCCATAATCATCCAGTTTCAAAAAAAGTATTTATTTTCTCCATGATATCTTCACTAAAAAGCAACTCTTCTTTTTTATATATTTTACAAAGACAAGCAACTGCGAATACGAACTTACGTCTGTTTATTCATCAACTTGTAAATCAAACAATGGTGAAATCTTGATTTCATTCAAAATGTGTTCTTTAATTATTCAAGGAAATGTCTGCTATAAGCCGCTGAATAGTATTATTAGACATAGATACTTGTTGCTTCTTTATTGCATTGGAATCCCCAAGATCTAATTTTACCATCTTCAACTTGCAGGGTTTGATGAAATTTTATCCTATTGTTTTTATTTTTTGTTGTTTTTTTTTTTTTTTTTTTTTTTTTTTTTTTTTTTTTTTTTTTTTTTTGCTTGGCAATTTCTATCGCGACTTCTTTTGATGCTTGCTCTAATGCTGTGTTCCATTGAAAAAAACTTCCTGTTCAATTAAGTCTCTGACATTCGCAACTAACGTCATGCCGACGAAAGAACTCCATGTTTAAGTTTTGAAGGCTTCATAGACCCATGACTGAGATCAACTTTGCACAGTGCGCATTGTTTTTCTTTATTTCATTTCCTGAGATGTTAGTAAAGCCGAATTTCAGATATTCTTCTAATTTCTAAATATTTGTTGTTGTTTTTTTTTTCATTGCTAGGGTATAGTCTAACATTTTGCGACCCCCCCCCCCCCGTCCCGTCCCGTCCCCCCAGAAAGCCATTCGCTACCCCAATGCTCTACAGGCTTAACTGGACAATCCTTCACATTTTATTCAATTAAAATTGGCCGAAATATTTTTTAATCGCGAAAGACAGTCATTGCAAAGTTTAGCAAACAAAATCATTCGATATCATCACACAATAATTGCAATTTATTTTAATGTATGGTGTTAAAATTAAATTACTGATTCAATAACAATCATTTTTATAATGAAAGCACATGAAACTATAAATTCGATGTGTAGTGGTTGGTACCCGTGTTTTATTCATGCCACGGTTAGGTTATTGCACGGATATTTACTGGTCTATATATATTACTAACGTGCCCGATCCCGCGGTCTCAGAAGAAAGTCTGATGTAATATTTTGAGAGGGTTTTATCATTGCGTTGCCACTCCTATATTCTTAGACGTATAGCCTAACACGAAGCTATTTAAATGTAAACAATACCTGAGCGATATTTATTGGGCCATATTTGTCGGGGTAAGGATTTGCCCACATTACCGTCCAGCAGAGGCGTAGCGACCCTTCCCGGCGAACACCCCCCTCAAACTTTCGATTTGCACCTCCCCCCCCCCCTCAAAATTTTTCATTTGCACCCCCCATCAAACTTTCAATTTGGCGCCCCCCTGGCGCTGTATAAAACCTTTGAGTGTATGTTAATCATATTCCGTATTAGTGAGGCAGATCACACTTCGGCGACAGCCCATGAGTGTGGAAAGTAGAGCGGCGCTCTCGGGAGCTCCTGGTTAAATAAATGCAGGGGCACCGTGTACGGACCCTGGTTCTGTTTAATTTTTTAAATCTTCGAATGTCTTGTGCCTATGAGTCAATATTGTAGGGTGCTCTTTAAAACTAACGTAGGCGCCACAGTGCTCACACGATAGCCTAGGGCGTCTAATCGCACTCTGCCGAGGCGCCGGATGGCGCGCCTGATGTGATTTAGTAAAATACTATAGTACCCCAATGTATACATAGCCTATTGCATGATTTAATTTAGTGAGCTGTTATAGAACCCCATTCTATCCATAGCCTAGCGCACTCTTTCAAATGAACGTAGGCGATAAAATGCTCACAGGGGAGTCCGAGGCGCCTTAGGCCCCGCAATCGCTGGGCGCCGGCGGCTGCGCCTGTTGCAGTTTTACCGCTGAATATAGTAGTATCCATTACCCAGTATGCAGGACGACCAGTTAACAGATACCAAGTGCTAAGACAGCTGTATTTTCATCAACTCTCCAAAAATTTAGGGCACTAGGATGAACGGTATCAAACCGCATCAGACTTTTTATATACCGTAATATAGAGAAAAATAGCATCGAACCTTGCTGGTGCGCCGCCCTTGTGAAATTGAATCTTTCTCCGCTTCCGCCCCTCCCCAACACAGACAGAAAGAAACCTATTCATCAATGGTAGTAATGCCATAAGGACAAATCAACAAGCAAACCCACATACATTCATATATATATATATATATATATATATATATATATATATATATATATATATATATATACACACGTATATATATATATATATATTTATATATATATATTGGTCTAGATCTATATATCATAACAGCTGATTCAATCATATTAACAAATTGTATCTTATGTCTTAAAAATTTAATAATTTTCAGCTACATTAATTAATACATTTTGTTGCTCACTTCAATTATTATAATTATGATTAACTTAATGGGTTATATAATTATTTATACAAAATTTAGAATTACATAAAATGGAATATATTCAATATAAAAAAAATACAGAGTAAATATTACTTCAATGATTCAAATCATAATTGTACATTTAAAATGTTGTTGTTTATTAGTGGTTAGTATTATTGTATAAGTAATGTAATGGGTAAGAATTTAGGCATCATTTTTTACAAAAAACCTGAACAAAGCTAGCCAAAAACACCTAGTACAATATAATAAATGTACTATAGTGATTCATGACATCCATTCTTTCCATGAAGTGTTCCTTCCTTTGTGTGAATATTTAAAAATTATCATGTTAAATCATTTTTAATAACTTTTTAAACTTTGTTTAAATTTCATGTTTACAACATAGATGCACACAATTTAAAAACATTAGTTACAAATAATACATTCATTTTACTTATCTTCAAAATGAAATGTCTAGATATCATATTAATCATTCCCAATACTTTGTTTGACAAATAATACTATGAAGAGTATTATATCCTGTATGACAAACATTAATGGTGTGTTTTCAGCCTACACAATGTGGTATTAGTAAAAAAGCAATAATTTTATATATAGATAATTGAAGATCCTTGTGAAAGAGAATTTAATGACCAACAACACATTCAAGTCCTGAGTGAAAATTTGTGTGTGTAGATAAACTAGACTTACGAGCAAACTTTTTATTACAAATATCACATTCATATGGTCTCTGGTAAATGAATATTTTTATGTTTAGATAAACTACCTTTATAATTAAATTTTTTGTGGCACACATCACATTCATATGGTCTCTCTGGTAAATGAATATTTTTATGCTCTGATAAATCACCTTTAAAATTAAATTTTTTGTTACACACATCACATTCATATGGTCTTTCTGGTAAATGTATATTTTTATGTGTAGATAAATTACCTTTACGATTAAATTTTTTATGACACACATCACATTCATATGGTCTCTCTGGTAAATGAATATTTTTATGCTCTGATAAATCACCTTTAAAATTAAATTTTTTGTGACACACATCACATTCATATGGTCTCTCTGGTAAATGAATATTTTTATGTGTAGATAAATGACCTTTAGATTTAAATTTTTTATGACACACGTCACATTCATATGGTCTCTCTGGTAAATGTATATTTTTATGTGTAGATAAAGAACGTTTTTTACTAATTTTTTTATGACACACATCACATTCATATGGGCTCTCTGGTAAATGAATATTTTTATGTTTTGAAAAATCATCTTTATGATTAAATTTTTTGTGACACACATCACATTCATAACGTCTCTCTGGTAAATGTTTTTTTTGATGTCTAGATAATTGATCTTTATGATTAAATTTTTTGAGACACACATCACTTTCATATGGTCTCTCGGGTAAATGAATATTTTTATGTTTTGATAAATCACTTTTATGATAAAATTTTTTGTGACACACATCACATTCAAATGGTCTCTCTGGTAGATGTACATTTTTATGCTCTGATAAATAACATTTATAATTAAATTTTTTGTGACACACATCACATTCATAAGGTCTCTCTGGTAGATGAACATTTTTATGCTCTGATAAATCACCTTTATGATTAAATTTTTTGTGACACACATTACTTTTACATGGTCTCTCTGGTAAATGAATATTTTTATGTTTTGATAAATCACTTTTATGATTAAATTTTTTGTGACACACATCACATTCATATGGTCTCTCTAGTAAATGAGTATATTTATGTTTTGATAAACTCCTTTTATAATTAAATTGTTTGTGACACACATCACATTTATATGGTCCCTCTGGTAGATGAACATTTTTATGCTCTGATAAATCACCTTTATGATTAAATTTTTTGTGACACACATCACACTCATATGGTCTCTCTGGTAAATGAATATTTTTATGATTTGATAAATTACGTTTATGCCTAAATGTTTTATGGCACACATCACATTCATATGGTCTCTCAGGTAAATGATTATTTTTATGTTTTGATAAGTTACGTTTATGCCTAAATTTTTTGTGACACACATCACATTCAAAAGTTCTCTCTGGTAAATGAATATTTAGGTGTGTAGATAAATGACCTTTATGATTAAATTTTTTATTACACACATCATATTCAAATGGTTTTTCTCCTGAATGAATCTTTTTATGATTTGAAAAATTACCATTAGTACTTAATTTTTTAAGACACACATCACATTCATATGGTCTCTCTAAATGGTTTGCTAAATGATTTTTAATATGATAATTTTTATGACACACATAGCAATCATATTGCTTATTAATTCCAGAATGAATATTTGTGTGTGTGGATAAACTAGGCTTTGTAGTTAAATTTTTAGACAAACTAGACTTATTGTATACCTGTTCTAGGTTTATTTTGTTAATCTGTTGAACATCACTGATCATAACAATTTCTTGCTGATGAAAATCATGACCATATGGATTCACCATTGTGTGAATGTTGATGTGTTGTTTAACGTGATCAAAATGGAAAAATCTTTGACAACACATATCACACTTGTATGTCTTCAGTCCCTTATCATTGATCTGATATTCTGTTGGGTGATTATCAATCAATTTTGTATGCAATAACTTGAGTTCTTTTAATTCATTTTGAAGATCTGATTTTAAAACTGCAAACTTTTCTTTAAAATCAGTTAAATCTGGTGGGGAAGGAAGTTGTTGCTGTGCTTTGAAACCATTTTGTTGTTCACTCTCCGAAGATGAAATTGTTAATATCTCAGGTTTTATATCTTCAAAGATTGAAAATGCTGTTGATATATTTGGTTTCATGTCTTCAGAAGATGAAAATGATGTTGGGTTATCTTGTTTCATCTCTTCTAAATGAAACAAAGGCTTTGTTTTATCAAGATTTTTATCTTCTAAAGCTAAAATTGGCATTGTTTCCTCAAAGTATTTGTTGAAAAATTGTGTTGATACATTTTGCTTTATATCTTCAGAATTTGAAAAGAGTGTTGATATATTTGTTTGTACTCCTTCTGAACTTGAATTCATGTCCATAAATGTTATGATTTCATCACTCAATTCCTGTTTAACCATCATTGAACCCTCCGAAACTATACCATTAGTGTCCTTTGTGTTTTCCATAGATTTAGATTGATGAATTATTGCAAAAAAACTGAAATAAAAATAATCTTGATTAGAAAACCAAATTAAAAAAAGTATTTGAAGATATATTGATTGCATTTACAATAACCCCAAAACTGACCCCAACACAATTTCAAATAGCTATTGCCCGAGCTATGACGTATGCTGATAATTCAATCTCAATGTGAACTCACGGTGAACCCGCGACCCTGTAAGGATTTTTCTCCCGCTGACAATCACATGATATTTAATTGGAATAGTTCTAATGCTTTTTATGTTGTTTTTTCTTTTACCTTTTCTGATAAAAAATCACATTCATGAAAAAAAAAAATAAGTAGATCTGGTGTTTTCCTGACGTTTTTGTGTGTTTCGGTTGTATTTATAATAAAATACGCTCAACTGTAGGTGAACTTGAAGCCGGGAATAAAATACGTTAAAATGGGGTTTTACCGAATAATCTAGATTCTCTAGATTCTTGATCTAGATCTAGATCTAGAATCGGTAATCTATCGTTTTGGGTACGTAAAATCGCGCGCGACTAGTAATGTGAAAAACAGGTGACTCCTTAAATTGTAATAATTATTTCACATTTTGAGGAGGATTTATGTTTTTTAAAATACAAAAATGTTTCCTTGTTTCATTTATGTACCTGTTTTAAAACAATTGAATTAAAACTTTTCAGTAATAAATGAAGACTAGCTATGTTTCCAACAGATGCAACCATGCTCATCTATATATATAATTCTCTTCTTCGAGCCGTTAGAAAACAAGCTGCAAACGCTCTCCCTACCTCCCCACCCCTACATGGTTTTAGTGAGCTGTGTTCACTCTAAATGTTTACAAGCAGAGCCAATGATTTTAAACGTAGGGGGGGGGGGGGAAGGAGGGGGGGGGGTTATGGTCCTTAACGAGCCACTTATAGTGTTTTAAAGAAATATTTTCAGTGTCAGCGTTGGTACTGTCGAATTCACAAATTATGAATTATTGAAAATTAGAAACAACTAAATAGCGGCGTATGTTATGCCGCGGGCCGGCTCGTTTACTATAGCAGCCATCTTGTCTAAGTTTTATTTTTATAAGCTTATTATAGCCGCGCCAGATTCAGGGGGAAGCCACTCTATTTTACAAATGGCTGCTGTTTATATAGCAAATCTTGCTCTCAGACACTGCTGTTTAAAGTTAATTTCTGGCCTATTATATCGATATATTTAGCCATTGATTTAGGTTTATTATTCGTTTATCTATAATATTTGACACAAACATATGACAATATACTTCTATTAAAGCCTGGACAATGAGGTAACGTTTTTGTACATTAATAGCCGCGGGCGATTTTACGTACCCAAAACGATAGTTTACCCTAGAATCTAACTATTTTAATTTTTATAAAAAATTTTTCTCCAACATATGTTTAACATCAAATAGGCCTATCGGCCTATGGCTATTAACTTGTTCACGTGTGTAAGCTTTAGTTACATTAGACCTTTCTTATCTGATGTTGTAAGTCGTAAATAATTTTAAAACACTCCTAACATTAACTTATTTTGCGATGTTTGTCGTTTGAGATACTAAACTTGGGTCCCCATCTTGAATATTTTTTAGAGTAATCTCCCTTGAAGACAAGAGCTCCCAAACTACACCGCGTTTACACTTACGACATGTATACTATACATTTCCAGAACACAAATCCCGCCCAAATTTATTTTTATCTGGAACAATTTTATCTGCAGAACATGTAAACTTTTGCGTTCACACTTACAGACAGAGCCGGCGTTAGGGGGTAACAAACGGGGCGGTCGCCCTAGGCCCCGCGCTTGAAGGGGCCCCGCGCTTCAGCACAGCCATTGTTGTCTGAATTAGTTTGTAAACTTGAATAATCTTTGCTGAATTAAATTTTAAAAAAAAACCAACTAAATGGCCGAAATTGTTGGATGTTAAAACTGAGGCCACGGCTGATGTTAGTGAGTTATCCTCTACACGGACTGGGACAGACCGTCATTCTAAAGAAAGACGTTAGTGTCACACATCGCTGGCACGGTCGACTTGCTATTGTCCTGAGGTGACTGGAGATGGCGGTCGTGAATTCGCCCCCAACCTGAAATGGGAGGTAAAATCGGGAAAAACACGTAAAGTGATATACTATTGTTGTATGCGGACCGTTGAAGACGTTTTTTTTTAGTGAGCAGGCGGGGGTGTCTGTAGTAAACAGTCAGTGACCTGATGATGGCTTGACAAGGAGGAGGGGGTGAGAGCGGATGAGGACATGCCCCGAAAATCCAGAGTATGTATACCTAAAATCATAATGTATACACTGTATGGGCATCTTTTGAGCTTATTCACCACGATACGTTTGATATGCATCCATACAGTAATTATGTTCCTATGCATTTTATGTATTGTCAGGTCATCTTTAAATACATTATACTTGTATTAATTTTTATATTTTTGAAGGGCATTTATACAATAATTATGTCCATTTTCATTTTGGTAAACTTTAACGGTATTCGTAAAGTGATTAAGCACATGTTTATTTTTAATTAATTGTAGGGATATTCACTATAATAGTTAAGGCCGTAGTGATCCTTGTTTGAAAATAGTGTAGGCATACTAAACAAATTATAAAGTCTATACTGTTTGATACATCGGGCTGAGACTGTTTTATGGTAAAGTTTTCCTGATTTCTCAAACGTCTAAATTACCGGCAGTCAGAGCATGCCGTCGCGAAACTCATAAATAAGGTGAAGCTGGCTGTCACATGGTTCACTTTCTAATTATAGAAACGGACCTTCTCTTGTGAGAACGCGGTCTTAACTTGTAATGTAATACGTCGACGCTTTATAAACACGCACATTCTCTTGAATGGCCGCGGTCAGAGATCCAGTAACGTAGTACCCGAACTGATTTTTTTTAGAGTTTGGCATCCCATAGATTTAAATGTACAGTTATCCTTTACCTCACGACACCAACTGTCACCCACCCCAGTGTTCCTCCCTACTGAGCGTCCGTGATTACATTGAGAGTAATTTCATTTGGATATCTATAGCCGTAAACAGTGTTTTTAACGATTCGAGCTTATTCCGAAATCTATCAATGTTTTGCTATTTTCCCCGGCATCCACACTGAAGTGGATTGAGATTTTATAATTCTAGATAGATAACACAACAGACGAGGAAGCCATTTTATGTACGCCTTGTTTATTCTGTATCGAAAACGGAAACATAACATGCAAGGGACATCACTCAAACATTATAAGACTAATACAAGAAGAATGAGTTCCCTTCCAATTAATAAAGCATCAAAAGCGAGGAAACGCAATTTGGTAAAATCTTAGTTTAGCGTCGTAAATTCGGCCAAAACTAGTAATGTAGGAGAGAGTGCAATAATGAATATGTCATTAAATATGAGTATATTTTCGTATATTTTGATAAAATATTATAAATAATTGAATAATAGATCACCATTTATGGTTAAATCAATTTAAATATCCTGAAATTAATTTTTATTAACCCTGTTCGAGATAGTAAATTTGCTATTAAAAACAGCAGCCATCTTAAGAAAATGTTATTTAGAGTAGCTTCCCTTTCATTTCTATTCGTATGAAAATGTATTTAAATATGATTGTCTTGTTGTACAGTCCGTATAACAAAGCATTTTTTTTTAAATTCTGCTCTTTAAAAACTGAATCTCCAAACAAACAACTTTATTAATTCTAGAAGCATTGTGAGATGCAACTTGTATCCATGTTTTAAATCACGTCTTTTTTTTACTAGAATCTAATGTTTATTTGATCTTACTATTACTATATAGTTTGAGTTTTTTCTTATTGTTTGAATGTTCACTATTTTTATTTCAGGTTTTTCTTTTCATCAATTAGTGATTCTATCGTAACTTTTAACATTTTTTTACTTATCTTTACCTTAATTAAACCCCAACCTCCGTCATATTTTGTTGTCAATGTCACAACAAGTCATAAGGGGTCATCCATAAATGACGTCACACTCGTAGGGGGGAAGGGGGGGTGTCCGTCGTAATTTTGTGACGATGTGTGATGAGGGGGGGGGGGGGGGGGGGGGGGTTCAGATGTTGCGACGTCACATTTTCGCATTATAAAAAAGCAATGTTAGAAAACGAATTTTAGACGTTATTTCGCGTTTTAGATAACTGTTTTAATAAATTGTATTAGTTTAGACAAGATTTTGGAAAAATTTCGATGTTTAAAAAAAAAATCAACTGCAATTTTGAGGGGGGGGGGGGTTGTAGGTTGAGGTGTGGCGTCATTTTAGGGGGGGGGGTCTGGCTTTTTGTGACGACGTGTGACGGAGGGGAGGGGGAAAGGTAAAAATCGTCAAAAAAGCGTGACGTCATTTAAGATCTAAGATCTCTAGCCATAATTTTGACAACAATAAATGTTTGTCATCATTTATATATACAGAGAGACAAAATGTATTATCCACCAGCTTCCATCGTAAAACATCATCTAAAACAATGAGCTAATCTACCCCTTAAGTGCGTGTTGTCATTATGGTCGATCGCAAGTCTCCACCTGCCAGACACATTTTGGTTATTCTTTGTTGTCAAAATGTCAATATCAAGTACCCAAGTGAGTGATATGGGGTTGTCCATAAATGATGTCACATATGCTTTGCTACGGGAGTGAGTGAAGATTTGTGACGTCAACTCAGGCAGCTCCGCAATTTATGACGTGTCGGTCTCATGAAAGGAGGTGAACGGGGAAAAATACCTAGGTGGTTGATGGAGAACCTCTATAATGCTTTGTTCAATCAAAATAACGATAAATAAGCATTAGTATACGTATACCTTGCTTAAAACGAATCATCACAAATGTTGCAAGCCTGCTAGTTTAAGACATTTGGCAAAACGGCCTTAACTTAACACATTATCCCCGTCAAAAAGGCTTGCCACCAAATGCCTGCCGACGAATAAGCCGCGTCTAATGCGGGGCGTTAGGAATACGGCCATTAGCATGGGCCGCGTTAGAGCACCAGTAGGCTATCGCGCTTTGTAAGATGACGTAAATACTTAAATTCAATTTCGCTAAACTGCGCGAAAATTTAGTAATGTTCCATCGTTTGAGGAAATTTATTTTCTTGGACTTAAATTGAAATATCATGTTGACTGTTGTGAGGGTGGGGTGTTTTGAGAAGCGGTAACGAATGAATCCAATAACACACAGTTCAAGTTCAACTATAATTGTTCTTTATTAAAATGATATATATGTTCAAGTTTCTACCTAACTGATCTACACTGTACTATTTACTACTACTACTGACTGTTCATACCACATGCTACCTACTACTACGCACTCCCATGACCAATCCTAACACTAACTGTTCTCTACATTCTACAACCTAACACCTTCTACCTTCGCTAGCTAATCATGATCTAACTATCTACATTCTCGACCGTCTCTGACCGCTACCTAACAACTCCTGGCCTATCGCTCTACTGCCTATCAACTGCCGCTAATCTCTCTACTGCCCCACGCCTCAGTGGTCAGCTGACCGTCCCACGTGACCGGTCAGCCCTGTGCGCCCATTGGCCTCTCTACCCAACCAACTAGGCCTATAGTCTGTTTCTGCTAACCTATATCTGCTAAACATGTCTGACGTAATCTTGCGTCATCACAACTGTCTGGCTCTTAATTTTCGAATATCACTTTTAATGTATCAAGATTCAGAACTATAATTTTCTTTAATATAAGTGTAATTTTATCGTTTATTGTGCTTTTTATAAAGCGCAGAGCAGCTTCAAAATCGGACGGCCATCCTGTTTTCACCAAGCTTCTTTTGGAGCTTAATATGGGTAATCTAGTTCTACACGGTGAGAGCTTAATACATTTTTAAAGGGCCGAAAGTCTCAAGACAGCAAGCTTGCAGAAATAACTATGTACGTTTAAATGGACGAGTGATAGATGTGTTAGGGGCTGTTTAATGAACACCAACTTATGTAATCAAATTAAACGTCGCATAAGCGTCAAAAAGGCAGTGCTTGTTGTTTTTTTTTCTATAAAAGTAGCCTAACGGTCGGCGGTACCGATACATGACGTCACGTGCGAGCGTTAACTCGGTGACGATGTGCTAAGTGGGGGAATCAAAAAGGTGGGGTTCAAGAAATGCGACTCAACATGCTTTTTACATTTCTTGACCCTTCTTAATAGTACTATCATCCGCACTGAGAAAATGGATCACCAATGAATGACGCGTCATACTTCTACAGCTGGTCTTTCTCCCACAACCATCCCCTGTTTTCACGAAAAAAACAACCTGATCCGTCTCCAAAATCACATCGCTGAGTTCTACTCAACCTCTCCCCACTACAAATCACAATTTCTATTTGAAACAATATGTTCATATGTTTGTTCTGTAATAATGCACGCTGTCATTACTATCTTAAGAGCGACGTCATTTATGAGCGATCTAATATTGATTTGATTACTGCAAATAAAGTGTTCAAAAGTTCGACCTCCCAACAATTGTTGTGGTCTTGGATGCACACTATTAAGTCTGAAAAGGTCTATTAGTACTATTAGGCATTCATGTCAACAATATTGAAAAAAAAAAGAAAAAATTACTATACAGGGGGTCATCCATAAATGACGTCACGCATTTTTTGACGATTTTTACCTCCCCCCTCCCCTCCGTCACACGTCGTCACAAAAAGCCAGACCCCCCCCCTAAAATGACGTCACACCTCAGCCTACACCCACCCCCCCTCAACTTTTGATTTTTTTTTTAAATAGCTATATTTTTCTAAATCTTGTCTGAACTCTGTCAAAATAGAGTATTTTAATCAATTGTTATTACAATGTATTAAAACAGTTTTCTAAAACGCAAAATAACGTCTAAAATTCGTTTTCTAACATTGCTTTTTTATAATGCAAAAGTGTGACGTCGCACCATCTGAACACCCCCCCCCCCCCTCCCCCTCATCACACACCGTCACAAAATTACGGGACCCCCCCTTTACGAGTGTGACGTCATTTATGGACGACCCCCAGGCGTATATTAAAACAATACAAAACAATCATATTAAACCACAAAATCAACACAAAAGACATGCGAATAGACAATTTTTCCAGGGAAACTACTCTATTATTGTTTTTGAAACATGGCCGCTGCTTGTATTTACTCATTGTTGTCTCGAACGGGGTAGTTTAAAGTTTATTCCAGGATATTTATGACTGGTTAGGTCTTGGATTGTGATTTGTTATTCAATTATCTGTTATATTATGTAAAATATGACATAAATATGGCCAAATGAAAGAAATATTCATTAGTTACCTTCATCACACATTACTAGCTACGTTGGAATTTACGACGCTAAACTAAGATTTTACCCGCAATTTAAGAGAAGAATTTAATAAAACACAAGCAGGCGCGTTACCCGAAGGTATTAAGTCAGCCAAACAGTGCCTTCAGTACATTTGGAGTATTCGGGATTCCTTTCCCAATACGGCGATCGCCTACAGAATCTTACTAACAGTTCCAGTCACAGTGGAAAGCGCCGAAAGAAGTTTCTCCAAACTGAAGTTGATCAAGAACTATTTGAGGTCAACGATGTCCCAAGACAGGCTCTGCGGCCTGTCGATTCTGTCAATAGAAAAAGACATAGCCTCCAGTTTGGACTATGATGATATAATCATGGAATTTTCCTCACGAAAGGCAAGAAAAGTAGATCTTCGTTTGTGAACTTACTGGTAAGATTTTCATAAATAAACATTAATGTAAAATAAACCGGGAGTGATCTCCCCTAAACTTTCTCGAATATTCTTATATAAAATAACAGGGGATGGAAACTCGGGCTATAGACATGATTTTTAATCCATTTTAAATACTTAAAGTTTTAAAAATAGAATAAAATCTCGTAGACAAATTAATTGCACACCAAGTGAACGCAAATAAAAAAAGCGCATAATAGTGCGCAATATTATTAGTACTTTTAAAATTTACATTAGTTTTTTGAGAAATCGGAAGTAGCGTAAATTACTACTTCCAGTCAACGGAAATTACTTAAAATTTAACAGAAGGTAGAGAATTAGATCTTTTACTTACATGTGAAATTTCATTTATCTATCTGAAATAGTACTCAAGTTATAGGCTTTTAAAAAATTCAAAGTAGGAAAAGTACCACTTCCGGTTATCGGAAATCGCTCAAAAGTTGATACG